CAGATCTGCTTCTGCAACTCAAGTGACCCCTTTCATCACATTTGCTTCTGCAACTCAAGTGTAAATTTACAGATCTGCTTCTGCAACTCAAGTGACAAGGCCATGAGGCCTTCACTCGTCTTCTCCTCCCTCCAATCAACCAGATCAACATAAAAATGAAGCTTTTTATTCGATTCCCACAGACGGCGCCAATGTAAATACACCAAACCAGAGATCCTTCTTCAGTCCGCATCTTCACTTCGGATGTACCTGTAAAGCCCCGAGGTGGAACTCGGGGTAGACACTCCGATGCTTAAGTCAGCAATAATCGGGGCTACCTTTAGGGTGGAGATAAAAAGAGTTTAAGGTTGGTTTCAATTACCTTTCTGAGATGGTCCTTGAGGGGTATTTATATGTTCCAATGGAGAACCCGTGTTGGCCTGCCAAGCGAGATGTTCGGGACCGGGAATTTGAGACATATTCAGGTATGGGCGTACGCACCATAACTATTGTACAGCCTGTCATAAGAAATCAGGTGCGTGCCTGTTCACGGTAACTATTATGCAGCTGGGTTTACTTTTCACTTCGATTGTTGAAGAATTATTTAGTACGTCCGAGGTGGGCACCTCGGACCTATCCTTACAATACTAAAGCATCAAGCAGTGGTAGAGTCAGAGGGCTTGTAGGGCCCAGCTCCCTACAATATTGAAAATTTTTTAATTTAATTATAAAATAAATAATTGAAATATATATCCTCATTATTAAGTAAAAATAAGATAAATTTAAAGTTAATTGTCAATTATATCATAGTATACACTTAAACTCATACTCTTTTCTTTTGTCATTCAAAATATAACTACATCATATTTTAACACATATCATGACAATAGACTTTTAATTTCTTTGGTTGAGACATTCATCTAGAGTTATTGATTGTTATAATTGTTAATTTTTTTGGTTTTGGATTTTATATTATTGCTTATTTGACTTTTGATTTTCTTAATTATAATGGCTAATTGATTATATTATTTAAATTTTAATTTATTTGGGAGGGAGGTTTTAATTGTTTAATTGGTTTTTACTAGTGGTGAGAAAGAGCTTTTGTTAATTTCAAGTTGTGTGAGTTTATGCTAATAATCTTTTTATTTTATTTTATTTATTTTAAAGCTATTCTATGATTATTGTCAATTTTGTCAAAAAATATTTTAGCTTTTGGGTTCAAATTTTATATTTGTTCTTATATTAGTCCCTTACAATACAAATTTAAATTTGTGCACTTGATTTGTTTTATCTTGTTTTATTTCAATTTACAATCTAATAGATTTACACAAATTACTCTGTTTCTAAAAAGGTTTTGATTTGTTTTAATCAATTTACCAAGCTTTTCTTTTTAGGCTTCTATTTACTATTTTGTTTGTTATGATTATGTTATTATTTTATTTTTAAAATTTTGGAATTTGGGTTCTTTACATATTAATTTGTAGGACTTTGATACTTGTATTAGAAGAAATAAAGTTCGTTTAATTTCATTCTCTTTTATCATTTTTTTTATCTATGTTTATATTTTTTCATTGTTATATTTTTATTTTTTATTGGTTTTAGAGTATTTTTTATTTGTAATTTTTAAGTTATTTTAATAATAAAAATTATGAATATTAACAATTCATTTAACTTGAAATAAATTCTTTTATAATTTATAGTTGTGCCTTATCTAGTTTGAAATTCTAGCTAGCTCAGTAGCCCTGAGAAAGGTAATAAGAAGAAACCTAATTTATTATAATTTCCTAAAATAATAAGGTTACAATCGAAACCAATACAAAACCACATAATTTGTAATCAACTTATGAACATCAAATGAGTCGCGTGCTTAATAGCTTTAATATAAGTCGCATGCCTTTTATTATTTTATTTATTGTTATGCCACAACTATAAAATATAGAAAATAAAATAATAAATTTATAATTTTATATAATATTATAATTATAATATTTTCAAATTAAATAAGTATAGAAGAAGATCCACAAGCTAATGTTCAAATTTAAGAACGTACCTAAACGCCATCATCATTCTCTTATAAGAGACTTCTTGTGAAAATTTAAAAGTTAAACCCCCCCATTTAGTCCTTTGACTATTGTAGAAACCTCTTGATTTAGTTCTTTAACTTAATAAAATTTTGATTTAGTCACAACTGTTTACCATTTTTGCCCCAATTTAGTTTTTCCGTTAAAAATCTATCCCGTTAGTTGACCAAAAAGGGTGACATGTATGATTGACAGCATGGCATATAAAACTTAAGACACATAATTTTTAGTAAAAATTAAAATATCTAAAATTAATTATAAAACTAAAATTACATTTTTATCCTCATCTTTAACCACACATCAATTTCTTTCCATTTTTCTTTTGTTACCCCTTCATTTTCATCCCTAGCATCTTATCTTCATCTTCTTTCCCTAGATTCTTGTTCATTGGCTTTGGGGGTTTTGGGTTCGATTGATGAACCCAGTAGGCGCTGCTAGGTTCAATTGATGAACCTTACTGGGTTTGATTGAAGAATGTTGGGTTTGATTGATGTACCCTTGTTGGGTTTGATTGAAGAATGCTAGGTTCAATTGATGAACTATTGCTGGGTTCGATTGAAGAACCGTTGCTAGGATTGATTAAAGAACCCAACAAGTGATGTTGAGTTCGATTGAAGAACCCGACAGGTGCTGGGTTCCTTTTTCTCCTTTTTTCATCTCTTCATCTTCTCTTTCCTCATCTCCTCTCCTCCATCTGAAACTTCTCTTTCATGTCTGTCCCTTCTTCCTCCCACAAGAATCAAAGTTTTTGTAGAAATTTGGGAGAAGATACGTTGATTTTTCTGGGTTTTTTGGAAGGCTAAGAGGGTAATGACCAGTTTGGGAGATTCTAGGTTTATGTTTGTGTTATGCATGGATTTGATGTTAAAATATGTCTGGGTTTATAGAAGGTGAAAGGAAAGGAAAAGGAGGAAGAAGCGATTGTTGGGTTCCATCGACCTAGCAGCTATTGGGTTCAAAAAAGGTTAAATACCCTTTTTGGTCCCTCTACTATTGAAAAAAGCCC